TAACACGGAGCAGGGTACTCCCAACCCGGAGCAGAGTACTCCTAACACGGAGCACAGTACTCCCAACCTGGAGCAGAGTACTCCTATCCTGGAGCAGAGTACTCCCAACCCAGAGCACAGTACTCCTACCCAAATCCTAACATTCGCGGCCTGGGAGGCCGGTGTTGCAGGAACAAATGAAACCCGCAGATTTGCACCTCATCTTTACTCAGGGCGAGTTCACCTGATTATCTCTACTTCCCCTGACCCTCATAAAATATTTTGCAAAAGTTGCAGACAAAAATGGACCAACTAGTCTAAAATCCAGTTAATTTTATCTCCTTCTGTGACAGCTTTCAGGGTAGGAGTTCTGAGCGGGTCAGGGAGAGAAGGAAGTGGCTGTGCCCAGAGCCCAGGGGGGTGACCGGCCCTCGGCCAGCACCCCCTCCGCCCCCCAATAGCACCGCCGAGCCCAGTGCCGCTGGGCCGGCTCCCGCAGCCCCCCACGCCAGGGAGGGCAGGAGCCAGTCGTCACCTTGGAGCTGGGGTCCCTGGATGGAGAAGTTACAGGTGTTGGGGAGCCGCTCGGTGCCTGGGAACCGGCTGTTCAGATGGATTCTCTTACCAAATTCAGCCTGAAAAACTCAACGACATACTCAGTGACCGTTTCCGAGGCCGCCCCCGCAACAGCTGTTTGAACTTCAGTCTTTCTGGAAACAAACCCTCAACCTCAACCCAGAAAATGATGGTCTTATTGATAAACACCTGCCTGTGATGGTGAGGGAGACTGACTGTGGAAAGCAAAGCTAATCCGGAGAAAACAGTTCTAAATACAACTGGCAGTTCTTCACATTGTCATTAAGCATGTTTACACATCTGGTGTATCTGTGTCGTGTGTCTGTGAAAAGACACTTGGTCTGCAGCCTCCTCGGGGCCGCTGGCTCGGGCTTACGTCCCGTCATCTAAGACTTCCTCAGGCCTTGACTGTTCCCGGAGCTCCCCGGGGACTGAGTTTCAACCCACACCGCTCCTCCCATCCCCGTGCCGCCTGTTCCCCGCGCTGCCCGCCCGTCCTCACCGCCAGCCGCTCCTCCAGGTAGTCGCGCACATCTCTCATGTGGGCCTCATAAGCCTCGCAGTTCTCCGCCACCAGCTCTGCTGCCTAGGGACACAGGGACGCTCAGGGGGACACAGCACATTCAGTTATGGTTAAACAAAGGGGAGCAAAACAGCTGTACGCAGCAGAGTGGTTCTTCCCGGAGACAGAGAGGTGACATCGCCACAAACTGCTCACTTTCTGGAACGTGACAAGCAGACAACATGCCTCGAGTGCTGGCCGTGGGGCTGGGCCACAACAAGCACTTAGGTCTCCCGTTCCACAGGCTTCCTGGTGCCTCCCGGCACTGGAGGCCCCGCAGCCAGTGAGCCAAGGCAATCCCAGCCTGAAGGTATGTGCACTCGAGACAGACGGACGTGACAAGGGGAGGGGGCCGCATCAGACGGACTAGGGTGAGCGTGTGAAGGGAACTCGGGGCAGCAGGGAAGGGCGTTCAGGCAAAGGCCCCTGCGGAGGGAAAGGCAAGCGCATTCCTGGAACAGAGTGGGTGAGGGGGACAGGGCCCAGAGGCCCAGTGACAGATGGGGTCTGAGCCTAAAGAAGTCACGGCAAATGCACGTAGATTTTGAGGAAGGGGTGAGATGCTCTGATGTGTGTGTTTAGTGATCATTCTGGAGGGTGTGGAGAATGGACGAGGCCACAGCAGGCATCCACACAAAAGATGGGGATGGCGTGGTTTAGTCAGTGGAAACGGACAAGAGGCTGGTCCTGGTATATTGTGGAGACCGGACAGACAGGACTGTCTGCTGCATCAGGGGCAGGGGACAAGGACAAGGGCAGAAAAAGGGCACCTCCTGCATTTCTGAATTGAGAACCTGGATGTTGGGAGGCACACAGGAGGGCAAGGGTGGAGGAGAGAGCGGGACACATTGTGGGCCCAGAGGAAACCGTCAAGTAAGCAGGTGGGGACGTGGGTCTCCCAGAAGGTCAGGACCTGCCCCGAGAGGCAGAGTAAAAGCCTGAGCACAGACTGGTGTCAGAGCCACGGACAGGACGAGCGCTGTGAAGGGTAGGGGAAGCTGGGACGGCACCAGCAGGCTGCACAGGGTGGATGAGGGCAGAGAAGGAACCGTGTGGCGGGGATGCGGGTCAGGGAGCGGAAGGGGTCCCGGAGCCCCTGGAGGTCACAGCGCGAAGTGGGGACCTCCTCAGCCAGCTCTGGGATGCAGAGCAAGGAGCAGGGAGCAAGGATCAGGAGGATGAGGTGAGGGATGAGTGTGCGTGCAGGCCCCCCAGTGGGGCGGAGGGACATGGGAAGAGGTTGGAGCGGGTGGTCCAGGGAGGATGGTTTTAAAGGCTGGGGGAGCAACCAGGTGGAGGAACGTGAATCCTCACGCTGGAGAAGGGGCAGCACCCGGGGAACGGAGGAAAGCAGGCCTCGGCAGGCGGCGGGCAAGGGCACATCTGGGGAGAAGGGGCAGGTGCGGAGGGCGTGTCCAGGACCAGACAGCACGGAGGGAGTCCCAGCTGAGCAAGGAGCAGGGAGGGGAGGAGACACACCGTGTGCCCCGCTAGTGACTGCAGGGTCAGAGGACCTGGAGGCAGGTGCAACCCGGGAGCAGGGAAGGGGCCACAGCTGCGGAGCCCAAGCTGAGGTGCCAGCTGCTAGGCCAGCACGGAATCTCGAGGAATCTCTAGCAAGCTGTGACTATGCCCCCATCTTTATGCGGGACAGCCAGGCTCAGGAAGGTGAAGTAACTGGACCCAGGGGACCAGACAGAGCAAACATGCGGTGTTTCTCCTTAGAGGGGGCTCCAAGAAGGAGCTTTTCTCTTTTAAATGCTGAGCATGTGAAACCCACTCTGCAGATCTTAAAAAGCACAAATTTCCAGTTTGATGAATAAAGTTTAAGGGTTTTCTTACATTGGTCCATCTATTGGGATCACAAACTTGCCCTCCCTAAAGCCGCGGCCACGTAGTCAAGCTGCTGGGAAGCGGACGCGAGGTCACAGGACATCACAGGGAGCCTGTGCGGTGGCCTCCGCCTGGTCCCCACAGCTCCGGGGGCCCTGGGCAGGCCCCACACAGCAAGGGCACTGGGAGCGCCTTGTATCCTAGGGTTTGGTCTTGGCAGCTGGTTCCTCAACCCCCTGGGATCTCCTGGGTGACAGGAGTGTCTTTTGTTCTAATGAGGCAACTCTGGATGGGCCCCTGGCTGGGGGCGGTCACTGAGCCACGACTAGAAACTTGGCATTTTCAGCACCATCCCTTCTCCAGAGGGGAGGGAGGCTGGGAATGGAGTTAATGACTAACCAAAGGCTCCATACAAATCCTGGTGGTACGGATTCAGAGAGCTTCCAGGTGGCCGACACAGAGGCGCTGGGGGGTGGGGTCTGGGGAGGGCCTGGGAGCCCCCTCCCACATCCCTGCCCTGCAGCCTCGTCCTCTGGGCAGTCACCAGCACCCCTTCTCAGATCCTTTCAGAATAAACCACTAATCCAGCAAGTAAAATGTTTCTCTGAGTTCTGTGAGTAATTCCAGTAAATTCATTGAACTTGGGGCGGGGGGCACGTGGGAACCTCTGATTTGTAGCCAGCTGGTCAGACGCACAGGTGACAACCAGGGCTTGCACCTGACACGTGCAGTCGGCAGGGGTGGGGGGTCAGGGTGTGTCCTGTGGGACTGAGCCTGTGGGATCTGACATCACCTCCGGGTGGATGGTGTCAGAATTGCAGGACACCCAGCCGGTGCCACAGAACGGCTTGGTGGGGGGCCCCCCACCCGCACATCTGGTGTCAGAAGTGCTGTGAGTGTGGCAGTGGCGTGAGACAGAGGAGACACACAGGAGGGAGACTGAGCGCTCCCTACATGTTGATGGACAAAGCCACTGCTTCATCTGTCCCTGGTCACCCAGGCTTACCTTCCCAAGGCCGGCAATCATCGGGGTGTTCTCTGTCCTGTAAGAGACAAGGGATTCCATCCTGTTTCCATGCACAGCAAGTAACAAACATCCCAGGAAGGAATCCTATCTCAGAGTCAAGTGTTCACCTGGAAACACCCACACTGGCACCTTTCCTAAGCACGTGCTGTGCGGCTGTCTCAAAGGCGGCTGCCGGCCCCCCAGGCCCTCCGGGCAGTCTACCCGTCCTCACCCAGGGACAGTCGCCGTGGCCCACCGTGGGCGACGTACGTCAGGTGTCCAAGTGACACTCTATCTGGCCCCTTCCCCTACCCAAGAGAACCCCCTCCTCCAACTGCAGGCCCCAGAGCCTGCCCCTATGGGCCCCATCCCATCCTCTCACCAAACGTTCCAGCTGAAGCCTTTCAGCTGTGATACAGGATGAGTTTTTGTTACCAGAGATTTGGGGCATCATGGGTGCGTGTGGGTGCGTGTGTGTGCGTGCGCGTGCACACCTGCACAGGAGCGGACAGGAAGACCCCTGAAGACCACTGGTTCCCATACACTGACTTAATGAACTGAAAAACATCTCTTCACTTTATTTCAGAAAACACAAAACATTAACTTAGTTTTCTTAATTTTAAGTTCTAGCTAAATGAAGTTTTCTTAAACCTTTGGAGCCGACTACTGCTTGTGATCAACAGACAGCAAGACACGTGAACACCAGTACAGGTATTACAGGAAATGCGATCCTATGGGTCTTCCTTTGATGGGCTTATTGGTCAGGGCTGCCCCGGAGGCGGGCTCTGACTCCTGGGGGTGGGCTGGCCTCGGCCCGGACCCCTCTGCCAGCTGCGAGAGCTCTAACGTCAGCTCCTCTGGGCCTACCTCGTCCTCATCTGTGGGACGCCATGGTCAGACAGGAAGCACCTCTCAAGGTCTAGCACGTGTGACTGCCCAGAGGTGCGGCCAGGGTAGGACCTGGAGCGCTCCCAGGTGGCAGGCCGCCCCCTGCCCCCCTACACCTCCACCCAGAGTCCTGCAGACCCTGCTCCCACACCTGCCCCCCACGGACTGCCCAGGAGGGCTTCTGGCACACCTCATGTTCTGCCGCCTCTTTTTTTAATTAAACTTTTTATTCTGAGAGCATGTAGATCCACATGTGGTTGTAAGAAACAGCTGACACCCTCTGTACCCCTAACTCAGCTCCCCCCAAGTAGCAGCATCCTCGGGGCACCAACAAGACAGAGCGCTCCCACCACAAAGGGGCCCCCCGCCGGCCTTTCCAGCCACACCCTTCACCCCATTCCCTCCTTAACACCTGGCAGCTAACTGCCACTCTCTCCTTCTTCTGTAATTCTGCCATTTCGAGGATGTCATATAAATAGAATCTAAGGCTTTCTAACTGGGGGATAGGCTTTTCTCATTCAACAGAACTTCCCGGCGGTTCCTCCCGGCCGCGGCTGCGCCAGTGGGGCGCTCCGTCTCACTGCTGAGCAGCCTCCGCGGCAGAGGTGTGCCCTGCTCGCTAACCCCTCGCTCGTCAGAGCGCGTCTGAGTCGTGTGCAGTTTGTGGCTGTTATGAATAAAGCTGTGAGCACATTTGTGTACCGGGTTGCGTGGATGTAAGTCTTCGTTTCTCTGGGGTAAATGTCTAGGAATGAAACTCCCAGGTTATAGGATATTTGCATATTTAGTTTTTAAAGCAACTGCCGAAGTGTCTTCCAGAGCAGCAGCACCACCATCAGTCCTACCAGCCATGAACGAGGGCTCCAGTCTGCCTGCGTCTCCACCAGCATTGGGTGTGGGCACTAGTTTTCTTTTAGCCTTTCTGACAAGTGTGTCGTGATGGCATCTCCCTGTGGTTTGAATCTGCAGTCCCCTACTAGCTAGTGGTGTTGAGCACCTTCCGGTGTGCTTTTTGCTGTCCTCTTTGGATGTGTGTTCATGTCTTTGCCCATTTTCTGACTGAACTGTTTGGGGGAGGGGTTTTGCTGTTGAGTTTTGAAAGTTCTTTATATATTCTAGGTACCTCTTCTCCGTCAGATCTGTTACTAGAAAGTATTTTTTCCTAGTGTGTAGCTTGTCTTCTCAGCCTCTTAACAAAGTCCTTTGCAGGGCAGAAGTTTTAAATTTTGATGGAGTTTGACTTTCAATATTTCCTTTTATGGATGCTTGTGGTGTCAAGTCTAAGAACTCTTTGCTTAGCCCCAGATCCTGAAGATTTTTTCCTGTGTTTTTTCTAAGAGCTCTATAGTCCCATGTTTTACAATTAAGTTCAGGATCTACTTTGAGTTAACATTTTACAAGGTGTGAGACTTAGGCTGAGGTCCATTTTTGCCTGTGGATGTCAGAGTGCTCCAGCACCATATGTTGAAAGGCTACCTTCCTTCCACTGAATTGTTTCTGCATTGTTAAGAAATCACTTGGGTGTATTTCTGGTTATATCTCTTGTTCCACAGATATACTTGCTGGGATTTTGATAGAAATTGGGTTAAACTTATAAATCAATTTTGGGGAGAACTGACATCTTTACTATATTGTTTTTCAATCCATGAACATGGTACATCTCTCCATTTATTTAGATCTTTGATTTTTCTTTCATCCACATTGTGTAGTTTTCAGCATACAAGTCCTGTATATGTTCTATTAGATTTATATCTGAGTATTTTGGAGTGATTGTAAGTAGTAATGTACCTTTAATTTTGTTGTCTATAAATTCATTACCAATATACAGAAATACGATTGATTTTATATGTTTCTCTTATATCCTATGATCGTGAACTCACTTATTAGTTCTAGGAGCCTTCTTATATATTACTTGGAATTTTCCATGTAGACAATCATGTGATCTACAAATAGGGATTTTGCCTCTTCCTTTCCAATCTGTATACCGTTTATTTCCTTTTCTTATCTTCTGCACTGACGAGAATTTCCAGCACTATTGAATAAGAGCATAAGAGTGGATATCCCTGGCTTGTTCCTGATCAGAGGGGTAAAATAGTCAGGCTTCCACCATCAAGTATGATGTTTGCTGTACATTTTTTGGTAGATGCTCTGGTCAAGTTGAGGAAGTTCTCCTCTAATCATATTTTTTGTGAGAGTTTTTAAAACAAATGAATGTGGAGTTTTGTTAAATGCTTTTTCTACATCAAATGACAATTTTTTTTCTTTCTTTGGTATGCTAGATTACATTGCTTGATACTTGAATGCTGAGCCAGCCTTGTATCCCTGGAACCCCATTATGGTATACAAGCTATTTTTATATATTGCTGAATTCCATTTGCTTACATTTGGTTAAAGATTCCTGCATCTAAATTCATCAGGAATATTTGGTCTCTAGTTTTATTTTTTGTACTGTACTTGCCTGGCTTTGGTATCAATTCACAAAGTAAATTGGGACATGTTCCCTTCTCTTCTATTTTCTGGAAGAGACAGCACAGAAATGGTGTTGATTCTTTAAATGTTTGGCAAAATTCTCCTGTGAAACCATCTGTTTGGAGATTTCTTTTTGCAGATTTTAAAATAACAGAATCAACTTCCCAATAGTTACAGAACTATTCGATTGATCCATCTCACGAGGTGAACTGTGGTAGCCGGCATTTTTTGGGGAAGCGGCCCACTGTGTCTGAGCTGTGAAATTCACGCATAGCGCTGTGTGTGGCAGTCCTCATTGCCCCTACGGTGTCTGCAGGGTCTGTGCCTGTGCCCTGTTTCACTCTTGATGTTGGTAACTTGTTTCTTATCTTTTTCTCCTGGTCGGTCTTGCTAGAGGTCTGTCAGTTTTACCAATGTTTTCAAAGAGCCAGCTCTTCATTTCATTGAATTTTTAAAAGTCATTTTTGTTTTTAATTTCATTGATTTTTGTTCTCATCTTTATTATTTCCTTCCTTCTGTTTGCTTTGTGTTTATTCAGCTTTATATTTTCTAAGTTCCTCAGGTGGGAGCTTGTATTACTGACTTGAGAGTCTTCCTTTTTTCTAACATATGCATTTAGTGCTACGAATTTCCCTCTCAGCAGTGCCATAGCTGTGTCTTACGGATTTTGGTCAGTTGTATCTTCATTTGTATTCATTTCAGTGTATTTGAGACTTCCTCTTTGCTTCACAGATTATTTATAAGTGTGTTGCTGTATCCTAAGTATTTGAAGATTCTCCTATTATCTTCCAGTTACTGATTTCTAGTTTGATTTCACTATTGTCAAAGAATATACTCTGTATGATTTCAGTTCTTTAAATGTATTGAGGTTTGTTTAACGGTACAGGATACCATCTATCTTACTATATATTTTGTGGCATTTGAAAAGAATGTGCACTTCACTGCTGTTGGATGGAGTGTTCTAAATATGTTGGTTAGATCCTGTTGGCTAATGGGTGCCACTGAGTTCTTCTATATCCTAGAAACTTTTTGTCTAGTTGTTCTATCCATTATTGAGGGAAAGGTGTTCCAATCTCCATCCATAATTGTTGGACTTGTCTATTTTGCCTTTCAGTTCAATTAGGTTTTTTTCCCTCACATATTTTGTAGCTCTACTGTTTAGTGCATCCACATTGGGACTGCTGTGTTCTTGGTGGACTGACTCTTTCATCATTACATAATGTCACCCCCTCTGTAATTTTTTTTGTTCTAGAGTCTCCCTTATCTAATATTATACAGCCATTCCTGCTCTCCTTTGATGAATGTTTATGATACATTTTTTCCACCCTTTACTTTCAACTTGCCTCTATCACTAGATAGGAAGCGAGTTTCTTACAAATAGTACAATTGGGTCAGTTTTTCTAAATTTTACTCTGCCAATCTCTGCCTTTTAATTGGTGTATTTATACAATTTACTTTTAATGTAATTATTGACATTAGGGCTTAAATCTGCCTTTTTGTTTTGTTTTGTTTTTATCATCTTTCTGTGGGTTACTTGAACAGTTTTCAGAAGGTCAAGTGAAGAATAGAAACCTTATCTCCTTTCACATCCATTTACCCTCCCCCATTTACAATGTAATTATCTTAAGTATTTCTTCCACATTCATTTTGAACCACTTCAGACGGTGCTATGATGTTTTGTTTAGGCCCTCAAACACAATATAGAAAACTCAAGAGGAGAAAAAAGCCTGTTTTATTTACCCATATTTTTACTTACCAAGCTCTTCCTTTCTGATATTCCAAGGTTCCTTCTTTTACTATTTCCTTTCTGTGTAAAGAACTTCTTTAGTCATTTTTAGCGTAGGTTTTCTGGTGACAAATTTTGTTAGTTCTCCTTCATCTAAGAATGTCTTGACTTCCTCTTCGTTCCTTAAGGGTATTTCTGCTGTGTATATGATTCTGGCTTGACAGCTTTTTTTCTTTTTTCTTAGAGCACTTGCAAAATACTGCATCACTTCCTCTGGCCTCTGTGGCTTCTGATGAGTAATCCACTTTCCTTCAAATTATTTTTTCCCTGTAGGTAAGGTGTTGGTTCCCCACCTCCCTTCCTGGCTGCTTTCAAGATTTTTTGTCTTTCTATTATGAAGGTTTACTTTTTATGTCGTGGGATAGATTTCTTTCATTTTATCCTGTTTGGGGTTTGTTCGGCTTCTTGAATCTGTACATTTATGTCTCTTGCCAAATTTGCAAAATCTTCAGCTCTTATTTCTTCAGGTTCTTTTTCATCCCACTTGCTTTCTCCTCTCCTTCTGGGACCTCAATGAAATGTATGTTAGATCTTTCGTTTAGTCCCACAGGTCCCTGGGGCTCTGTTCCTTTTTGTTTCCAGTCTATTTCCTCTCTTTGTTTAGACTGGTTAATTCTGTTCTTTCAGTTCACTGATTCTTTCCTCTGCTGCTCCTGCTGGTGAGCCTGTCCATTAAGCGTTATACTTTGGTTGTAGTTTTTAGATCTAAATATTACATTTAGTTCCTCTTTGTACCTTCTTTTTCTTTACTGACACTTTCTTTTGTTTCAAGTGTGTTCATAATTGCTCACTGAGGCATTTTTATTGTGTCTGCTTTAAAATCTTTTGTCAGATAATTCTAACATCCTTGTCATCTCAGTGTTGGCACCTATCGATCATCTTTCTCTTTTTGATTTAAGATTTTCCTGTTTTCAGTATGATAAGCGATTTTCAGTTAAAATCTGGAAGTCTGTATATTATGAGTCTGGATGTCTCTTACCTTCTGTCTTACTTGGCTTTTTCTGACCCTGCTCTGGCAGGAGAAGGAGTGTGCCAGCTCAGCACTGCCGGCTGGAGGTAGAAGTCCAAGCTTCCGCCTCAGCCCAAGGGGAGAATGCACCTTATTAGTGACAGGTTTGGGGGGAAGCCAGGGTCCCCATGTGGTCTCCACTGACACAGTGGTGGGGATGCATTACTGGCGGGAGGGGCAAATGTCCTGGCTCCTCACTAGACCCTGTCTGACTCAACAGAGGAGTGGGCGTGCAAGTCTCGGCTCCCCACTCGCCTTTGCAGCAGTTTGCTGTGCTGACTGGTTGGAGACAAGCAGGTATTGTCCGAAAGTTCTCTGTCTTGCTAGGCTGTCCTTTTCCTGGTCTACTGGCTACAGACAGCAGGCTTTCTCGGGCATTTTTCTTCGGCCCTCACTGGTATTTCTGAGTTGCTGGATTCTCCTGCTCTAAGTCTGGGATAAAGGAGGCAGAAGAAACCCCAGGGAACTCGCCACATGCTATCTGTTCCTCCCTCTTGTTGTCCAGTTTCTGACAACACACGTGTTGCTTGCTGGTCCCACCTCGTCCCCTTGTTAAAACATCCCTGCAAGTCACAGGGACACAGGAGCTGTCCGAGGGAAGCAGGTGCTTCTGTGCAGCTCTGCTCACCCCCCAGGCAAGAGAAGGGCAGCACATCTCAGCTGGGGCTCAGGTGGTGCCTCTTTGGTGGGCGAGGCCAAAGGAACAAAAGGAACAGAGATTTCCTTCCTCTGCTTTGAATCATCCCCAAAGAGACTACAGAGCTGTGAGTCCTAAGTGTAGAACCAACTCATGGAGGCATTGGGCGGTGTGGCTCTGATGCAGTGGAGGTGAAAACCATGCTGTCACAGTGCTGCCAAGTCAGGAAAGCCACTGCTCTACAGACAAACAGCACGGCCAGTGGATCAGAGGCCTGGTTAATCTTCTACCTTACCCTGGCCTGAAATTCCGTTCTTGTCCACCTCCGAACAGCATAGGGTACAGAGGGGTAAGTTCACCGAGCCCTCGGACGTACAGTGCTCCAATCCTGGGGCCATAGAACTGGAAGGAAACGTCAATCATTTATTCAACAAGACCCGTCCAAGGCCCTTCTCCGTATCTGTGCTGAGAGACACAGAGATGCTCTGTAACATATTGGCCCCACTTCCCTGCAGCCCTGCAGCCCTGCTACCCGCCCCACTGCAGACATCCTGGGGGCACAAAAGCCTTCGGGTGCAGGGCAGGTGCTGGGCTCTGGTCCCCAGCTCAGTGGCAGCAGAGTCCTCTGCACATCGCGTACAAGACTCTGTGAAGGAGAGGGCTGGAGCTAGAGATTGCCGAGGGCTGCCTGGTGCAGTCTATGACCCCATGTTCTCAAGCCCACATTGTGCAAGGTTACAGTGCGTGCCACCGTGCCAGGCTCGGGCACACGCTCCTTTGGAAACTGGCTGAGAACTGAGTACTAAAAACATTCCCAGGTCTAGTCAGCGGCTGCAAAGGTGAGCAAAAGCTTCAGGAGGGTCTTCACTGTTACCTGTTTCCCCAGAGCACACCCTGCAGATGACAGGGGCTGAAATCACACCTTCACATCCAAGCCACACTTTCAATCAGGTTAGGGGAAGCAATAATTCTTGAACCCTGCACCTTCTGACCCCGGGTTGGAGGATGAGCAGGCTGTCAAGGGGCCTGCACGTGCTGTCTCCCTGCTGCAGAGAACACTGACTCCTGGCTAAACCCCCCTGAGACCTCATCACCTCCCCTCCTGCCCCTCCTGCCCTCTGCCCTCGCCCCTCTGGCCACTTTGCCTGGCCACCCCTCCCGCCCTGCATGGGCTGGGCCCCCACCATCCCCGCCAGGCACTGACACTTGGCATCTCAGCTCTGCCAGACTCCCCTCTACGTGTCCCAGAGCCTCGCTGTGGGCAGGTGGGTGGGTGCACTGGGTGATGGAGGATAAGTGGTGTTGCGGGCTCCACTCGGAGGTGAGCCTCACGGGCATCCAGGCCCCTCCCCACCAGGAGGGAAGGAAGGCAGCCTCTGCGGACGCACCTTGTGCCCCACGATGGTCAGGAAGTCCACGCCCAGGTCCCGCACATCCACACGCCGCTTCCCCAGGGCCTGCGCCGCGTCCGTGTGCATGAGCACGCCCGGCAGCCCGTGGGCTGCCCGCTGCTGGTTCAGGGCCCGAATTCGCCGACTGATCTCAGGCACCGGCTGAAGAGGGAAGAGCAAACAGCTGTGTGTGTTTCCCTCATTTGACAAAAACAGAATGAAAGAAATGGGGAGTCGTGAAGGAGGATGGGCGAGAAAGTTATAAGACTGAAGAGCAGAGGGAAAGCAGAGGCCGCCCTGTCCTGCTGAAAGGGAGGCAGCTCACCATGACGACGCCCGTCTCGTTGTTGGCCAGCATGATGCTCACGAGGCACGTGGCCGGGCGGACGGCCGCCAGCACATCGTCAGCCTCCACCTGCCCGCTCACCTTGGACACGGGGACAAAGGTGACCTCTGAGGAATGACACACAAGGACCAAGGTGAATCCCAGAGTGTCCTCTCTGGGATGTTCATTTACATACAGTGTGACACAACTCCTTCCACAATGAAAAATGCAATTTACTTTAAAAGTTCAGAAAACTCTGAAGAAGGGACATTAGCCAAGTTTATCACCCGCCCAGACAGTCAGCTGGACCACTCCGTTAACGAGCGTCAGCAGGTAAGTTGTCCAGGAGAACCACTCTGATCGCCTGGGGCTGTGAACAGGTAGGACACCCTCAGTTCCCGAGAGCATCTCGAAGCACCAAGCACTTAGCGGTCACTCAGTGCTGATCCAGCCTTCGTTGAGCACCTACTGTGTGCCAGGCACTGCTCCACGCACTGAGAATCTTATTGCCGTGGACGGAGAACAAGCAGAGGTGACTAACTTGAGGTTTGGGTTCAAATGGTGAGAACAAACACACCCGCTCACCCTTCAAGGTCCCACTGAAACGAGAGCGGGTATGTTTCCCAATAAGGGCTGTCACCTGTGGACAGGGACCTCCGAGGGAGGCAGTGGCATCAGATCAACAGCAACAGGAAAGACCCACTCAGGGCGAAAACTAACTCCATAAACAGCACCAACGGCCCCAGAGACCATGCAAGGTCCAGGTGCGCAGTGTGGAGAGAGCAGGACAGAGGCTGACTGCCAGAGGCCCCTGCCTCGCGCCCAGCAAGCGCCGGCCCAGGTGGGCTCCCAGGCTGGGGGGAGGGCAGCAGAAGGGTGGGGCCGGCGTGCCACTCTAGGACTCAACAGGGAGCAAGAGGAAGGCCTCTCCGGTCGGACTTCCGGTCCCCTTATAAGCACATGAGCCCGCAGGGAAGTGCAAACCAACCCCCCACGAGACCCCTCTGCATGCCCAGCAGCACGTCTACAACAGAAAGCACGGACAGCGACAATCCCTGACAAGGCTGTGGAGAAACTGGGACCCTTGTTCACTGCTGGCAGGGATGCAACTGGTGCAGCCGCTTCGGAACGCAAAGGTTAAGGTCAAACAGAGAGACACTTCGAAAGGTGAAACAGAGTCACAGCCTGACCCAGCAATTCCACTCCTGGATGTCAACCCAGGAGAAATGGAAAGCATGTCCACTTCTTCACAAAGTCCGTAGTGGCATCATTCACAGTGTCACTCGTTCATCAGTGCTCACCAACTGATGAACGGACACGTAAGATGTGAGCACGGTTCATTCACGAAAATGAAGGAAATACTGACACAGGCTGCACCAGGGACCAACCTTGAAAACGCGATGCTACGTTAAGGAAGTCAATTACGGAAGACCACGTATCATATGATTCCATTCATGGTAAGGTCAGAACGGGGAAATCTCTAGAGACAGAAAGTACTCGTGGTTGCCTAGGGTTGAGGGAAAGGGAGAGTTATAGCTTGAGTGATAAACCAAGAAATGGAGATTATGCCTGTAAGTCAGTAAGCGTTAAATTGGGAGTGACTATGGTGATAATGCTAGCCACGGGTAAAGTGAAGGCAAACCTGACGGGCGCTGCCCCGAGGAGCAGGACCGAGTGGCGGGAAGAACCTTTCCTTTGTGTTGGAAGCCTTTCTATGACCGCGTTCCTCCCCCCGGCATGTCTCTCCTGTGTAAAAACTTGCGCAATTTTAAACAAGAGGTTGAGTGTACCGGTAACTGATAACAGTGCATTAAGCGGCCCTTCCTTGTACAACTGAGACACAGGAAAAAGGCACCAGGGTAAAGGGAACTGCCGTTTAAATAAGACAGTCAGACCTGACTGTTTTTAGCTGAAGTGGTGCATTCAGTCAGGCCATAAAGAGAAAGCTTTCCCAGTCGTCCAACAGGAAAACTGGTAACAAGGCTGCTGGTGAAGCCCAGCAGCTGTCACAGTCCTTTATCTTAAGAGGTGACACTTCCCTGCCTCCCAGCGGGTTCCCAGGCAGAATAGGCGAGAAGGCAGATGCCCAGGAGAAAACCGCCGTCTCACCCAAGGAGCGCTCAGCCTCGGCCACGATGGGGAACGTGGCTCTTAGTTTTCAAAGCTAGTATCCACCCCTGTGTCTCGAGATGTCACAGCACAGGAAAAGTAAAAGGAGGACCAGGAGTGACCAGGGCCAATGTCACTGCAGTCTGTGCTCAACCTGCCCCCCAGACTGCCCGGCCCGGTGCCCTTCTGGGGGGGCCCTGGCGCCCACCGCCCCCAACACCGGGAGGCCCCCACCTCCACGTCCGCTTGCGCAGATGAAGGCACCAGCAGGAGTGCACTTTTTCTTGTTTTTACCACCAGAAGTTGATGTCTATCTGACCCTTCTTCTTTCTACCAGAGGGACCAAAAGTCAAGATTTCATTATTAAAATCAAATAATGAGGCGGGGTAGATATAGCTCAGTGGTAGAGTACATGCTTAGCATGTATGAGGTCCCGTGTTCAATCCCCAGCACCTCCACTAAGAAATAAATGAGCAAACCTAATTACCATCCCCCTCAAAAATAAATGAGTAAATAACAAAACAAATAATGAAAACCAGTGGTTAGCATTTATATGCGTATATTAAACATGAATGTATTTAACACATATGAGAGTCTGACCTACCATTCGGTGATTGATGATTGACCAGTTCTACATGTTGGCAATTTGTCTTTTTTTTTGATGCAGGTACTGGGCAATTTACCCAATTTGACTAGTAATCATGGAGTTTTCCAGAACCATGTAATGCTTATAATATTGTAGGTCTTTATTAATGTTTGTTGAAGTGAGTTGAACTGAAATAATTTAAAACAGATTTTAGTATTTACTGTAATTTCTTTTTGAATCATGTAGGTAATGCTCTTAATTTCAGTAGATAAGAATAAAATCTACATTTATATATGGAAATATACAGGTGTTCAATTTCTGTAGCATTGATAGAAATAACATCACTTATTTCTGGGAAATAATTTAAATTTATTAGAAAAGAAAAATTAGCCAAGATGAAAAAAAAGAAAAAATAATAAAACGGAGGGACTGGGGATCGAACCCGGAATCTCACGCACGCTACGCATTGAGCTACTCCTTTGGGTTAGCTCTACCATTGAGCTATCCCCGGCCCCCTCTCCGTTCTGCACTTACTGACTTTTCCCTAAGGGGAAATCTGAAAGGACTGGCTGTGTAACCTTTGCACCTGAGCACAGCCAGGCAGCCCGGGGGCAGGAGGTAAATGATTCACCACAGCCCTGGGGCCGCCCCTCCGGGAACCAGTCAGGGAGGGGAGGGAAGCCATTTGGCTGGAGCTCAGCCAGCTGCTCACTCACCCGCCACCTGCTCTTCCACCAGGTGCTCCAGGGGCAGGCGGATGGAGTCGTGCTCCACGAGGCAGGTGACGCAGTGGGGCAGGGCCCCCGCCACCGGGCTGTGATGCTCGGCCGCGTCCCCCCCTGAGGCGTGGGTCTTGCGGAAATGTTCCACCGCAGAGTGGATGACCAGGTTATTCGACTGCAGAGATACAGCAAAAACATCATTTATAAAAGCTGCGCTAAGAGTAGACGTCAAGTAACGATCTCTGCTACCTGTACTTCCCTTCGTGGCAAACATTACGGCCTCAAAGAAATTCAGCTCCTTTTAAAAGGCCTAACTATGAAGATTTGGAGGTTTTAAACTTTTAAAAATTCATTTCCAGTGAATTATGTCTGTTTTTTGGTCAAGCCACATTGTGCATTTAAAAATTTTCTAAGGGCCACTCGGCACATGGATCAGACCAGCCCTCCTGTCCAGGAGGTCTACTTCTTGGACTCGATCCTACAGCTACACTTGCACAGAAGCAAAATTATGCACGTAAAGGTGACTGATCAAGTGTTTGTAACACAAAACCTCAGGAAACCCTTCAACATCTGTCAACAAGGGCTCTCGTTAATCACACTTGTTCCATGGACGCCGGGCAGATGGAACAACACCGAGGGGCACTCCGGGGCCGACGCCAAAGACGTCCACACACTTGTGAAACGGAGAAAGGCATCAAGCAGGACACACAGCGTCCTACACGCGTATAAACCAGGCCAGATGCATCCACGTTTGCTTACACACCCAAAAAATCCTTGAAAAGGTAAAAACGGAAGGAGGAGAGAACATGTGAGCCTACAGGCTTATTTGCTTTCAAGGCGCAGACTATCTCTGCAGGACGCGGAGGACACGAACAACACTGGTCTCCTGTAGGGGTAACTGCAGGGCTGGGGTGGGAAATTTTTTTAAATGAAACTTTTTCTCTTATTACAGAAAAGCATGTACAATAGAAGTGTAAGTTTAATGGAAAAAGTATGACAGTGAACACCTGAGTAACTGTGACCCAGATCAAGACAAAAAACACTGTCCACACCTGGGGAGCACCCCCCAGCCCCCTCCACCACTGCCCACCCCCACCCCAGGTAGCCGCCACCCTGATTTTCACAGTAATCATTTTCTTACTTTACGCTTTCCTTCCTATGTGAGCACCCCTAAACTACTTTGCTTACTTTGCCTTTTGACCTTCATATGAATGAAACTGAACTGAATTACTTTTTTCTCAGTTGGAGATCCAACCTATTGAAGCATCTGAAGGCATCGCACAACAGGAAAGTGGACGCTGCTGCTTGTCCTGTGCTGAGGAAGCCACACGTTGTCACAGGCGCTCAGAGGACATAAAAGGCACTGAGAGTTTAACAGTCAGTCCTGGTGAAGGACGGAGGGTTCACTCAGATCTGAGATGCATCAAGCCAGGTAACGGCGAGGAGATGTTCAGGATGGACAGCTCAGATGCGATTCTCTGAAAGGTAGATGGTTCTTTCGAGTCCCAGGTCACAGAGATTCTTGGTCTGAAAAAGAGGGCCTGCAGGGGCTGCACACCTCACGCCGCTGCAAACAGCAGCACACAAGATGCTGGGCCCAGGCTCCTCCCATGTGTCGCCGCCACCTGCAGGGGCCTGCGACAGGGCACAGGATGCTACGCTGAGCGCCCTGGTCATGCTGGGAGCACGGCAGCCTCTGTCAGAACCAGCGGTCACATCTGAAAATGCACCGTGTGCCCCCAGGCCACCATGGTCCTCGGCACTGGGCTCCAGAGGAGGCCAGGATGGCCCTGCAGGGCAGCTCCTTGCCAGCCACCAGGAGTCTGGTCAGTGCCCAGGGGCCCAGCACAGCTCCCCGCCTCTCCCCCAGCCAGGCTCAGCTTCCTCTCTGGCTGACACCCTCCACTCCACAGTCACCACCCCTCCGCACAGCTCCGGGTGGCCGTGTGGCCCCCTTCCACCACAAGGCTGCATCACAAAGTGTGAACGTCGGTCCAGGCTATTTGGAGGGGCACCTGGCTTGTCCCCAGTCTCTGCCTGACAGGGCACACATGGCCTTGACTTCACCAGGTGGTGCCAATCCACTTCCAGACTGGCCTTCCAGTCCACACGCCTGCCAGCGCGGTGCGAGCTCACTGCTCTGCGTCTTTGTCAACACTTAACTGTCGCTGGACTTCTGAACTTTTACCACCCTGGTGGGTGGGCAGAGGCATTTCCACATTGTTTACCCCTGTGTTCTGATCACTCATGAGGCTGAGCATCTTTTCACACGTAGAAACCACAGGGGCTTCTCCTCTGTGGACTGTGCCTTCACATTGCTTGCCCAGTGTTCTCCCGAGTTATCTGCGGTTATACTCTGGATGCTGGTCTTTCGTCAGTGATGTGCTGCAAACATCTTCTCCCACCATCTAGCTGGTCTCTTTATTCCCTTCGGGGTTCTCTGATGAGTCAGTTTGTTTTGCTGTGATGGTAGCGGTAGAATTTATCAATCTTTTTCTTTCATGGTTAAAGCTTTCTGTATTTTATTTAAGAAATCCATCACTCTTCAACATCACACAGACATCAGTGTGCCTCCCAAAAGCTGTGTAAGTTTTACTCTTTGTGATTAGGTCTTCATTACACCTGGAGTGTTTTTTTTTTTTTTTGTATGTTGTGAAGCAGAAATCCAATTTCCTATCTCCCGGCTCCGGTACAGGCATGGCCAAGTCGAAGAACCACACCACACACAACCAGTCCCGAAAATGGCATAGAAACGGCATCAAAAAACCCCGATCACAACGATACGAATCTCTTAAGGGGGTAGACCCCAAGTTCCTGAGGAACATGCGCTTTGCCAAGAAGCACAACAAGAAGGGCCTGAAGAAGATGCAGGCCAACAATGCCAAGGCCATGAGTGCACGTGCTGAGGCTATCAAGGCTCTCGTAAAGCCCAAGGAGGTCAAGCCCACGATTCCAAAGGGCAGCAGCCGCAAGCTCAGTCGACTTGCCTACATTGCTCACCCCAAGCTCGGGAAACGTGCTCGTGCCCGCATTGCCAAGGGTCTCAGGCTCTGTCGGCCAAAGGCCAAGGACAAGGCTCAGACCAAGGCTGCAGCTATAGCTCTGGCTCCGGCTCCAGCTCCAGCTCAGTCTCCCAAAGGCACCCAGGCCCCCACAAAGGCTCCAGAGTAGAGGCTTTCATCTAGTGATGTCAGGATGTAAGGACTAGTGTGACCCCTGGGCAGCTGTCTGCATGGGGCTCATGTCTACCTGTGCTGTTTGTACAAATAAACCTGAGGCAGGAAAAAAAAGAAAAAAAAAAGAAAGAAATCCAATTTCCTTTCTTTGCACGGCTGTCCCAGCACCACGCGCTGCAGAGAACACTCTTCCTGTTCTGTCTGGCCACCTCAATCATGAATGACGATCATGTGACCTACCATCGGAGCCAGAAAGATGTCAGAGTGAGAGCGCACTGTTATAATCAGGTCAGGACACCAGGTGCCCCCCGGGACTGTCCTGTGCAACCAGGGCCACCCTTCTCACGCAGGCATGGCTGTTTCTGGTCTAGTGTCCATTCTCGCCCCAGTCCATCTGCATGAATTAGTAGAGCTAAGAAAGGCTTGCTGTCTGGTAGAGCAAGTCATTTCACTGCACTAATTAATCTTCACGAAGCCTTGGCTACTCTTGGCATTTTGTATTTCCCTATAAATCAGTTGGTGAGACGCCACCAAAAAAGTCAGACTTTTGACTGAGGTTACATTGAATCTACAGAAAGAACTGACACATTTGCAATACTGAGTCTTCCAATCTGTGCACATGGTATCTGCTCCATTTACTCAGGACCTCCTTGAAGGCTCTGGGTAATATTTCTTTTCCTTTCCCAATGCGGGGAGGGAGGAGTGTCTCACTTTTTTTTACTAGGTTTATTTCCTAAGTATTTGAAATTTTTTGGTGCTCTGGTAAGTACCTGTTTGTTGCTGGTACATAAAAACACAACTGATTTTCAATCTAACACCTTTGCCGAAGCTACTTGCTAAGGCCAGCTGCAGGTCCTCTCGAGTCCTTCATGTGGACGGTCACATCACCCGCGGGTGACCGTCATGCCTTCCGCTCCAAAAAGGAAACGAGAAAGTGAGCATTTCTAACTGAGTAGAGGCTTCGACGCCTTCACACTGTCCCTGAGTATCTTCTATCAATTTAAAAAGAAGTACCTTTGAAATGGGTCAAACCTCACACTCTTAATAAGGTGAACAACTTAGGGATTTAAAGGACTGATTCCAGGGCAGAACGAAAGGGGAATTCTTTCCCGAAGCATTAGTGCCAAGCAAGTTAATTCACACATCATTTTACAAATATCTGATCAGCCCCCTGGAATTCGCTGATAGGATAAATGCCGGCTGATTATATCAGGCTAACTGACAAAGCAGCAAGAGCAAGCGTTACTCTTTCCTTTAAAAAACAGTACCCCAGGAGAGAGCCACCCCCGTTCTGTGCTGTGGGCGCGAGGCTCTCGGGCTGCTTACCTCCGTGCCCCCCGAAGTGAAGATCACGTCGCGAGCTTCCCCACCTACCATCCTGGCAAGGCTTTCCCGAGCTGTACTGATAACATCCTTGGCCTTCCTACCTTGAGGGACCAAAATGGAAATTCAGTAACTTTGCTTCACCAAGTCCAATCAGCACACACTTAAAAGAGTGACCAGACCCAAGGGAACCAGAGACCTGAGCAGGGGGTTCTAGGATGAAGCGTGTTCCGTGAATGTGAACACTATGCTAGGCTACGACCTAAAAGTGACTTGGCGAAGGGGCAGCGGTAAGATATTAGCAAGTCAGGGAAAACTATGTAAGTTTAAGTAACGTAGAAGGAGCCAGGAACAAGCGTGAGGGTGCCTGGGACCCTGAAAGGCGTGAGACACGGTCCTCCTCTTACCGGCTGCTACAGCAGAGGGGGGTGTTGCCCTCTGCCTTGCTTCCCGTTCATCAAGACAGGAGGATGAAAGGATGGGATAATTTGCTTAAGATCACGCTGCAAAACAACAAAAATAAGCACAAACGGAACTCGTGACTTCTCAACACAAAGTCCAAAGCCGTACGTCACGGCGCAGGTCCCCCAGGTAAGTAGCGAGGTCCCCGCCTCGGGGACACACTCGCCTTCAAATCTGGGGTGAGCAGCCCGGCTCTTCCCAGGTTCACTGGATACTAGGGAAACAGGAGCCCAACTTTGAGTGGCAGAGAAAGAAAGGCTCTGGGATGGGGATTCTGAGAATTCCAGTGACCATTCTTACTTAGTCTGTAGGCCAGCAGTCTCCAGATGTTTGATTATTCAGTCTTATTTATCAAACAATTTATTTGAGCAGGCACCACTAAAATAAATACATATTAAAATATACATAATACAAATGTAGAAGACATGGTAAAACTAAATACACAAAGTAATCCATACGCT